TAGCAAATACACAAATCTGAATGGCTGTTTAAATCATTTAAACACGATTCAGAAACAGAAAGTAGTGCAGCTTTGTTTACGGGGTTTGTTAAGCTTTGTTTAAAGCTTTGTTTACAGGGTTTCCGGGGTAATGGCTGCATTTAAATGAATTATTATTATTATTATTATTATTTCTGCAGTATTTTATATTAGGCATAGCTTGCCCTATAGCATGGTGTATTTTTATTTGTTTTGTTAATAAAAGTTCTATGTTTTATATATAGGCTAAAGTGAGTTTGACGTTGTATTTTGTTGTTGCATTCAAGCAATTGACGCCGAACTGCCGCTAATTCAAAAGTGAAAGTAAAATGCGCACGGCGCTTTTAAGCTATTTAAAAGCGAAGGAAAGCGAGGAAAAGAGGGAAAATTCAAACAAACTAAAAACGAACAATTGCTTTACTTCGAATTGCTGCTATTTTAAAGTGAAAGTAAAATGGGCACACCGCTTTTACAAGTTATTTAAAAGCGAAGGAAAGCGAGGAAAAGAGGCAACGCCCCGCCCCCGCGGTGATACCGGTATTACCGGTGTTGTCACAACCCTAACTCCAACTGGATTCGTCTGAAAGAAGAAAGTCATATACACCTAGGATGCCTCGGGGGTGAGTAAAACGCAGCCTAATTTTCATTTTTGGGTGAACTAACCCCTTAAATTAAGTTCAAAAATGCTTTACAAAAATATCCTTAAGTCAAAATAAATTGGCTTAAAGGGAAGTTCACCCAAAAATAAAAATTCTGTCATCTTTTACTCAGCCTCAAGTTGTTCCAAACCTAGATATTTTACAGGAAAACAAGACAAAAATCATTAGAAAAAAATTATTTTTGCAGTGCGTTTATCATGTCTGTGTAAGATTCATTATTATTTCACTTAATGCAATGGGCTACTGTAGAAACAGTTCTGCTGTTCACTTTAGATACACTGTGGGCCTTGCTTTGTTGAAAATAAATGAGCTGAGAAAGAAAGAAGGAAGGAATGAGTGAGTAGGTGAGTGACAGAGTGGGAATGCTTGAAGGAATGATGGCACAACGGAGAGTGGAAAAGTTTACATAATTATGGAACAGAACAAAATAGTTATGCTCCAGTAACAAATGTGTTTATCTTTTGGATATTTCTCTTACTGTCCTTCACTTTTTCCCTATCTCTTATTTCAAGAGCCAGATAGCTAGTCTTTTTTTCTCATGTTCTCAATTTTGACCCCAGTGTTGTGTTCTCAAAAAAAGCTGCCTGTAATAACATCCTGTGTGTTTTGTAGCTGGACCGATTTGGAAACATCAAGAGTTTAGTGGAGGATCAGCTGCAGACCAGCATGGTCAGTAGTAGACATTTTACACTGTTACACTGAATCATAGCCTTTGCAGAATTGTGCAAATATTAAATTTTTCCACTGTGAATTATCAATTAACACAATATTTGGGGTATTTTCAGAAACATTAGATGATATTAATCAATTTCAGTGTCTTACATGTCACATTTAGACATTTGTATACAATAATGTTGTAAAAAATATTACTAAAATTTGTTTATTTTCATGTATTGTAAAATATTCCTCTGACGCAAAGTTGAATTTTCAGCATCATTACTCCAGTCTTCAGTGTCACATGATCCTTCAGAAATCAAATTTTTCTTGATTTCTCACTGTCTTTCTGTTTATGTACAGGTGGTGGGAATCGTAATCGGCGCTGGAGTCGTCATCGTTCTCATCGCTCTCCTCATATTTTTTGTCCTGCGCAGGATGCAGCTCCGCAGTTAGTTCTCAAAAACTAATTTGTGAAATGAATGTTATTTACATTATTTTTTTCTGTGCACTGTAAAATGATCAAGTAATCTAAATTTGTAATAATGAAGTGCTGTTTAACAGCTCACTGTTCTCCTTAGACATCAGAGTGCATATAGAGAACATATCAATGTCTTGTGTTCCCTTTAATTTATTCCTTGAATTTTCTTTAATTAGTCTTAAAAAGTCTTAAATTTACCTTCACAAAACTTGCAGAAACCTTGAATTATTTTAGATGAACACTCCAATCTTATTTATTTGTGTATATATTTGCTTGTTTTTTTTTCTCTTAGAACGTGAGGCTCAGGAAGCCCCGAAGTATCGTTTTCGTAAAAGAGACAAAGTCTTGTTTTATGGGAGGAAGATTATGAGGAAGGTGTCTCAGTCCACCTCTTCACTAGTGGGCTCCACTTCTTCCTCCAGGCCCCGCCTAAAAAAGAAACAGAAGATGCTGAACATTGCCAAAAAGTACGTTTCTGTAGTGCCATTATTTGGTCATTTTCATTTGCTCAGACAATTAGGTTCAATAGCATGTCTGTTTTTCAGAATCCTGCGCTTTAAGAAGGAAGTGCCCATTCTGCAGATGAAGGAACCTCCTCCGTCAGTGCTGGAGGCAGATCTCACCGAGTTTGACGTGGCCAATTCTCACCTGCCATCTGAGGTGCTCTACATGCTCAAGAACGTGCGGTACGCTCCCATTGTTTCTGAATTTATTTACATCAAGAGTGAAATTAAAGAGAACTCGATCACTCCCATGCATTATGGAAGGTAAAATATGATATATAATGTATGTATTTGGTCTGGCGTGTCTCCTGCAGTGTGTTGGGTCACTTCGAGAAGCCGTTGTTCCTGGAGCTGTGTAAGCACATGGTGTTTCTGCAGTTCCAGCAGGGTGAATATGTCTTCAGACCCGGTCAGCCTGATAGCAGCATATATGTCGTACAGGATGGAAAGCTGGAGTTGTGTCTTACTGGACAGGTGTGTGAACGCACTGTTGTGGCAAAATAATCGCTCATCCGATAGGCCTGGGACAATAAATCGATGCATCGCGAATCGAGAAATGATTCTGCATTGATTCTGAGATTTTCCAAAGGCATCGCGATTCTCTCTTGAATCAATTCTGAGCTTAGTTTTTAACAGCAGATGGCACTGCGTGCTTTAGAAATAGCCGTATTCTGCTTGCTTCCAGTTCCTTACACACGCACCATTTAAACCTAAAATAATCATTCATAAAGTTCGAAAAGGTTGAAGTGAATTACAAGGAAGTTCACAGTGGGCTGTGTTTACATTAATCTCGCATCATAAAAGCATAAAAGCCGATGTGCAAGTATATTTAAACACTTACATTACTCAGCCGAACACACAAGCGCTCTTCTTCGTGAGCATTTGAGTGTGCGCTTTAAATGAGACATATTATGCCCCTTTTTACAATATGTAATACAAGTCTCTGGTGTCCCTAGAATGTGTCTGTGAAATTTCAGCTCAAAATACTCAGCAGATCATTTATTATATCATTTTGAAAATGCCTATTTTGAGTGGAAGCAGAAATAGAACTAATACACCGTTGTCGCTTGCGAAAACACAACAACGGCGCCATGGTTGTAAACTTACAGATTAAGGGGCGGTAATATTATAATGAGATCCCTTTGCAACGTCACCAAGGGAGCGAAATCAGACGCGCTCGTTTTCTCAGACGCTTACAGAAAAAGGCTTCCCAAAACAAAGTTTTCACGTTTCCTTGGTTGGTAGATACACCGGGGACCTGATTATAGCACTTAAAAAAACCTGGAAAAGTCCGATTTTCATGATATGTCACCTTTAAGACTAGCCTGGAGCACCATCTGCTGTTAAAAACTAAGCTCAGAATCGATTCGAGAGAGAATCACGATGCATTCCGAAAATCTCAGAATCGATCCACGAAACGTGATGCATCGATTTATTGTCCCAGCCCTATCACCCAATGTTATTTTAGTATCATTGAGATACTACTACAGATTTCATTAATATTTTGTTAATATTTGTTTCTATATTTTCTGTTTTAATTTTAATTTTAGTTAAAGTTTTAGTTATAAACAAAAACGAGAAATGATTCCTTGGCAACTGCCAATTTTATTTAATTTAATTATTTCATTTTATTTCAATTAGTGTTTATTTTATTTGAAGCAACAACTTTTTTATGCTTTTAGACTTAGTTAACGATAATAACCCTGGACTCGCCTCTCTCTCTCTCTCTCGCTGTCTCTCTCTCATAAGGATGGAAAGGATGGAGTGGTCAAAGAGGTTTACCCTGGAGACAGTGTTCACAGTCTACTGAGCATCCTTGACGTCATCACAGTGAGTCACACCCACAATTCCATTCTCTGTGTGCTCATGCTGTATAACAGCACAGGAAACCCAATTACTTTATAAAATTTTACACAACTTTTGTTTGCCTCTCATTTTCTTTATCTTTTCCCTGTTCCCATTCCCTTTCCTGTACTTTGTTCTTTTTTCTGTTTCTTCCACTTTTTTATCTTTCCCTGTACCTTTTCGTTGAAAGTGCCCCATAAGAAAGTCAAGTAGCAATTTTTGTTGCAGCACTTGGCACTGGAAAATGCTCACAGGAAATTACATATTCTGTAAATTATGCATAATTCACAGGCTTGAGTGTTTGATGCATGCGTATTTCAGGGTCACCAGAGACCATATAAGACGGTCTCAGCGAGAGCAGCAGAAGTGTCCACTGTCCTCAGACTGCCTGTCGATGCCTTTCTGTCCATCTTTGAGAAATACCCAGAGAGCCTTGTGCGGGTGGTTCAGGTCTGGAATTTTAAAATTGCCCAAGAAAGTCCATTGTTGTCTGTAAGGCCACTGCACATAATTGAGAATATTTTTCCTGTTGTGTCCTCTGCAGATCATCATGGTCCGTCTTCAGAGAGTGACTGTTCTGGCCCTGCACAACTACCTGGGACTTACCAATGAACTCTTCAGCCATGTGAGTGAACACAGATCTACACTTGATGCACACACTCTTTCTTTCTTATGATTGGTTGCTAGCACACAAAAACTATTGTAATTTTTTAAAGATTAAAATATTTTATACTATCCAAAACATTTACTATTTCCTTTCTGTCAATCTTCACTTAGGACATACAGGCTCGTCCCTCTCCTGCCTCTCCTCATCCAACACGCTCCAGTCCCGTACGACACAGCAGACGCTTTGCCAGTCTCACCGTTCCTGATAAACATCGTGAGGCCGCCGTCCAAAATGCTACTGGTGAGGCTTAATATCATAATAATATCTGCTTATTTACTATATGCCACTTATCATATCTAGTCGTTGGTGTTGAGCGATGTTAAGCGTTTAGATTTAATAATGAGAGTTGATCTTTGATGATGTACCCTGTCTGCAGGTGGGGATCATGGGAAGGATGGTGGCACAACACCGACCCTCAGTAGGACTATATCCATGCCTGTAGACATCGCAGGTAGGTCCATGTGTCTTGACTGGTTATACACTGCCATTCAAATGTTTGGGGTCAGTAAGAATTTTTTTTTTTTTTGACAGAAATGTATTCTTTTATTCAGCAAGGATGCATTAAAATTCAACTATCTATTCGTCAAAGAATCCTGAAAAATATACTGTATATCACTGTTCCCACAAAAAGGTACAAAACTGTTTTCAACGTAATAATAAATGTTTCTTGAGCAGCAAGTCAGCATATTAGAATGATTTCTGAAGGATCATGTGACACCGAAGACTGGAGTAATGATGCTGAAGAAAAACAATTAAATATATTAGAATAGATAACTGTTTCAGTTGTAATATTTCACAATTATTGTTACTGTTTTTAAATCAAATAAATGCAGCCTTGCTAAGCATAAGTGAATTTTTTCAAAAATCTTACCGACCCCAAACTTTTGAACGGTAGTGTACATTTAAGAATGTATACAATATAATATATGTAATATTATATAATTTATAGTTACAATGTTTGTGTGTGTATGTGTATGTGTGTGTGTGTGTGTGTATATATATATATATATATATATATATACACATAATCTATACAATACAGAAATGTGTATAGAAATGTATGACATATCATGCTTATGTTGGTGTCATGCTGTGATGTTTTTGCTGACCTTATAGGAATTCAGAAGAGTCTGCGTTCAGATTTCGACATGGCTTATGAGAGAGGCCGTATCTCTGTATCTGCTGAGGATGGAGCGCCCACTCCACCTGCTTTCACACGAGTGAGGTTTTTTTTTTACACTCATTTAACGTTTTACATATTAACATATTTTGTATTACAGTAATGAGAGTGTAATGAGAATAATCATTAAGAATAGGAATTACAAAAAAAGACCTTTTTGTTTTACACTGAAATATGACCCACACACAAAGTTTTGAATCACTCACCCTTGAAGTCTAAAAATTCATGCTTGTTTTCTGTGACACAGGAGCAGCGGGAGAGGAAGGTGACGGTGGATGAGGTTCCTTCAAGTGTGTATTTGTATCCTGAGGAGGAGTCAGGAATGGAGAACATTTTTAGCCCATTTCAAGGACGACCTAATGCTACAGTGTTCGAGGAGGCCCAGAAAGAGATTCTCAAACTCATGAAGATTGAGGTATGTTTTTGTATTTGTGTGGTACAATTCGTTGTCAAAGTTCATTGTCCAGTAAAATGAAGCAGTTTCACATGTACTTTAGTTCTCCTCTGATTTCTGACGGTCACACCTGTCTCTCTTTTGCTGGACTGGAGTGATGCCCTTTCCTCATATGCCCTCTTTCATCATCAGGACCCTGCTCTGCTGAATGGGAGGGTGACGTTTCATAATGCTAAAGCTGGATCTGTGTTAGCCAGACAGGGAGACCAGGTGCTCATTCTCATTTCTTCTGCCCAGTTTAGTTGGCAAACCTTAGATCTCTTATTTTGAAGAAACGATTATTGTAATATTTGTAATACTGTTTCTTCCTCTTCTTTCCCGTAGGATGTGAGTCTGCATTTTGTCCTGTCTGGCTGTCTTCATGTCTATCAGAAGATGATTGACAAGCAGGAAGCAGTGTGTTTGTTTGTGACCCAGTCGGGTGAGATGGTAGGTCAGCTGGCTGTACTCACAGGAGAGCCGCTCATCTTCACCATTAAAGCTGAGCGTGACTGTACCTACCTCAAGATCTCCAAATCTGACTTCTATGAGTGAGTGTGTCTATACAGTCCTGCAGCTGATTTCACTCAAATATTCAGTCTTTTGAATGCCACTCTAGCCATTGCAAATCTCACAAAAAAACAAAGAATTAATCCCCATCAGTAGATAGCAGAGTAATATTGTCTGTTTGTGCTGCCCCTGTAGGATCATGCGTGAGCAGCCGAGTGTAGTTCTCAGTGCAGCTCACACTGTGGCTATCCGCATGTCCCCGTTTGTACGGCAGATGGATTTCGCCATTGACTGGATGGCTGTTGAAGCCGGACGGGCCCTGTACAGGTACCATAACTCTCTCTCATGAAATGTTTTTTTTTTAATTATTCAGTTCATTGTAACATTTTCTTTAGCTGACAACATTCCCAGGTGATAGTTAAAATATAACTTTGGATAATTAAGAAATGTGTTTTGGATAATTAATTTGAAGTTGCTGATTGGATGATTAATCTTAAGAAATCTTATAGTTATATATTTATATAGTATATTTTTCTACACTACTGTTCAAATGTTTGGGTTTGCATTAAAATTGTTAAACATATTTTCAATAGAAGTCTCTTATGCTCACCAAGGCTGCATTTATTTGATAAAAATACAGTAAAATAGTAATATTATTACAATTAAAAATTTTTAAAATATCTGTTTTCTATTTAAAGTAGGGCTGCACAATTAATCGAATTTCTAATCGCGATTACAATTATGGATGCCACAATTACATAATCGTTCAAAACAGCAATTAATCGTTCAAAGTCCACTTATGTTATTCTGCACGCTTAAAATGTTTTTTTCTTTCTACATGTTATCTTAAGGGTTTTTCCATTGTTTTAGTTTTAGTATAACATTATAATACCATTCATATTTTTTTACTTTTTTTATAATTTAAAGAAGAAACCAATCCGATGTATATTTGACATTTGAGGCTTAATACTATAGAAAAGCACTAAAGGTTTTTCAGTTAGTGTTTTCAGCTTGTTTATTTTCATATAAAAATACAGCATGCAGTTGCATCAAGCAATGGTATAAACATCATTCAATGTAAATTGTGATAATCGTAATTAATAATCGCAATTACAATTTCAAGGGAATAATCAACAATTATGATTTTTGTCATAATCGTGCAGCCCTAATTTAAATATATTTTAAAATGTAATTTTTTCCTGTGATGGCAATGCTGAATTTTCAGCATCATTACTCCAGTCTATCATTACATTTGTTGTGGTCCATAGGCAAGATGATCAATCCGACTGTACCTATATTGTGCTGAATGGACGACTGCGTTCTGTCATCCGAAAAGCGAATGGGAAGAAGGAGCTGGTTGGAGAGTATGGACGAGGAGATCTCATTGGAGTTGTGAGTCTAAAGCTCTGGAATATAATCTAAACTGAATTTAGGATCGCTAAACTATGTCTCGTTTTTTCTCAGGTGGAGGCTTTGACTCGGCAGCCTCGTGCCACCACAGTCCATGCAGTCAGAGACACTGAGCTGGTGAAGCTTCCAGAAGGAACGCTCAACAATATTAAGAGAAGATACCCACAGGTGGTGACACGCTTGATCCATCTGCTGGGGCAGAAGATTTTGGGGAACCTTCAACAGCCCCGTGGACCTTTCTCAAGTACTCCCAAAAACCAAACATTAATCATTCACATCGCATTCAGTGCTTTAGTAAAGTCGATCTTGAGAAGAAACATCATATTAGGAACAAAGAATATGAATCAGAGCCTCTTCATGTTTAAACAAATGAAGAGTAAAGAAATGCATGTTTAAAGTTGACAAGACTTCAGAATCGAACCTGTTAACTTTACTAAGTGGTAAGATCTCTCTTCTATCCTTTCTCTAGGCTCTGCCTTGGGTCTGCCAAGCATGGCGTCGAGTCCGGATGTCACTAACCCAGCCAGTAATCTCTCCACTGTGGCCGTGCTTCCTGTTTGTGATGAAGTGCCAATCAGTGCCTTCAATTTAGAGCTCAGCCACGCCCTCAGCGCCATAGGTACACTTAAGTAGTGATTAGGGATGTTAATTTCGGTTATTTTTCCTAACCGACAACCGACGCGTTTAAATATGTAGTAAAGTCTGTGCCATTAAGCGTTATCACCGTACCGCCGTGAATGATGTTATGCAAACCATTTTGTTTTACGTGGATATTGGAATGTGAGTGAATTAGGCTACATAATAATATTTTGGCATTCAAATACGGAAACATTTGATTTTGTGTCGAATGAGAGACTTTAAATGAAACTGTTGGTTTCAGTTTCGTTTTAGCCTAAATGAATTAGTTTTGGCTTGTCGTTTAGCTATAGCTTCTTATATTTTTAATTCTTGTTCTTTTCTAAATACTGTTAATTGAAAGGATTTGTTGTGGAGTGAGGGGAACTAAAATAGCCTAGCTATGTTTACAGTGTTTATTATAATATTTGTAAACATTTCGTGTCGGCATTAGGTCTATTTCTGAATTAAATAATAAAATGCGACTTAGACGCGACTTGTTTTTTTTCCCTCTAAAAAACGTTTTTTTTTTTGTTTTTTTTATACGAGTAGCGTATTTCAAACATGCAGCAAACCTTTTGAAATATTTTGCTAAATTACTAAAAATAAATAAATAAATGACTTTTTAAACCATTTAACTGATTGTATTAATCGGTCAAAATTCTTCACGGTCGGTTAACGGTTAAAATGAACATCCCTAGTAGTGATTGACATTTAAAGTCCATGATCTAGACGCATAATCTAACACACTTTCATTCTTCAATCAGGACCAACTCTGCTGCTAACCAGTGACATCAGCAGAGAGAGACTTGGCGCTTCTGCGTTGGACAGGTATATATGAGATCAGAACAACATGTATTTATCTCACTGATTTTTTAATTGTAATCTGAAATGCTTGTCCTTCTCTAGTATTCATGAGTACAGGTTATCAGGTTGGTTGGCTCAGCAGGAGGACATTAATCGTATAGTGCTGTATCAGACGGACAGCAGTATGACCCCATGGACTCAACGCTGCATCCGACAAGCTGACTGCATTCTCATTGTGGGGCTTGGAGACCAGGAACCTGCACTTGGAGAGGTATTTGTTTGAGTCTAGTGTTATTCTGTCCACATTCATGTGAAATGTTTGAGGTGCTGTAGTGGTTGAAGATCAGAGCTGGTAACCAAAATGTTAAAGGCTGAAACCCCGCAGGGAAAGATTCAAAAACTTTTACTTTTCACCTTAAGCAAGGCACAACTTCAGGTTGTGCAACTTGGCACATTAATACTGAATGTGCACTGCAGTCACTACAGATGTAAGCAACTCAACACTAAATATGCATTGATTTTGAAACGTGGATGTTTGAATCACGAATCGCTTTAAAGAATTGATTTAAAATGCTAAAAATTGAATTAATGACGGAAAAACACATGGAAATAAATAAACTCGTGAAAAAAATGAAATATGGAATAGCTTGGTGTGCTCGGCTCTAAAATATTTTTTCAGGCACGCTTTGTTATATTCCAAGTAGCCTGTATATAGATGTATTTTAAGTGTTTACTTTCAAGTTGTGCAAAAAATAATAAACAATCTTAAATAGTTTGTCTTTTTCATTCCTAAGACACATTAGAAGTATTTATAGAAATCATTAATATTAATAGAAATCAAATCGAATGGAATCAAAACAAATCCCATTGTGAATAAGATCAAATTGAATTGTTCTGAATTTTCAAAAATCATTCCTGAATCGAATCAAGAACTTTAAAATCTTGAATCAAATCAATTCACTACCTCAAGATTCACACCCCTAGTGGTCACATTTTTTTGTCTTCAAATGGAGCTTATCCAATCAGAATTCCGATTCAAACTTAATAGTAAAAGGTTCTGTTTTGATTCTCCCATGTTCTTACCTTCTCAGTTGGAGCAGATGTTGGAGAACACAGCAGTACGGGCCCTGAAGCAGTTAGTTCTGTTGCATCGTGAGGATGGGCCGGGCCCGTCGAGAACCGTTGAATGGCTAAACATGCGAAGCTGGTGCTCTGGACACCTTCACCTAAAGTGCCCCCGTAGAGTTTTCTCACGGAGAAGCCCCTCCAAACTGGTAAAAATACAAAACATGTTTAGCATTCTGTTGATTTAAAGAACAAAGATTGTTAGTAACTCTTGTGTTTGATATGGATGTGGTTGTTGCCTTAAACAGCGAGAGGTATATGAAAAGGTTTTTGAGAAGACTGCAGACAGACACAGTGATTTCTCACGGCTGGCCAGAGTACTAACAGGAAACAGCATCGCCCTCGTACTGGGTGGAGGCGGAGCCAGGTGAGTGACACCAAGCAGTCGTTATACCAGAGAATGGTCTTATTATTGGGAGATACCATGGTCCACAGCTCTACCATTGGAGAAAGCATAATGGCCAATTTGGATCATGTGTGCTTTGATGACCAATCACATTACAGCCTTGACGTCATTGAATTTCTGTCAGAGTTGTATGACAGTCATTCAATGTTACCATACCATAGGAATGAAAGGGAAGTGCTGTAAACGAAATCATTCTTGAATCCTACCTACCTGCTGTGACTTCTCTTATAAAACAGCATTTTTTCATTGTAAATCCAAAACTAATGATTAATAGCAAACATGTTGAAGGATTAGCCGATAGGCTGTCGATTCATTAAATGATATGCTGTTTCACCACAAAAGCAGTTTATTCAGTGTTGTGAAACTTATCCTCCACTGACATCCATTTAAAAAATGGCCTCTGATCTTCTGCTGTGTGTACCACAGGGTTGTTTTTTTTTTGTTGCTAACCTTGGAGGCTTGCCTTAAAGCAGCTTTGGTTAAACTGTAGTTTAAATGCAAACCTTAAAAATGGACTAAAGGTATTTTAGTACAATACACTTATTTTTAAATTTGTTTGTAGTATTTCAGTCTTATTTATATGTTATGTTATAGTTTTTAATATTTAGAATTTTTTATATTTTCATTTTAATTGTATTTATATTTGTACTTAATTTTGGTGTTATGTGCTTTTGTTATGTGACTTTTATCCGTTTTTTTTTATAGTGATCCAGGTAGTAATTTTAGTGTTTCAATTTAAATGTACTTCAGTTAGTTGCTAAGGCAATATTTCTAATATTTTCTAATTTCCAATATTTTATTACAGTTAATATGTTTTAATAGTTTTAGTTAATAGTTTTAGTCTTTGTAAACATCATGTTCAATTTTGCAGGGGCTGCTCGCATGTTGGTGTAATCAAAGCCATGGAGGAAGCAGGAATTCCCATCGACATAGTGGGAGGAACTTCCATTGGCTCGTTCATTGGTGCTCTGTATGCAGAGGAGAGAAGTGCTGTTCGGGTCAAGCAGAGGGCGAGAGAGTGGTCCAAGGTGATGCGACTCTATCCATTAACTGACACCCTTTAACTTGCTTTAAAGGGGTCATATGATGCGATTTCAATTTTTCCTTTCTCTTTGGAGTGTTACAAGCTCTTGGTGCATAAAGAAGATCTGTAAAGTTGCAAAGACTAAAGTCTCAAATCCAAAGAGATATTCTTTATAAAAGTTAATACACAAAATAATGTTCTTTTTAGCAGCATCATATGACCCCGTTAAGCAATCAGATAAGATAGATGTTCAGTTATTAATCAGTGAAATTTCAGTTAGTTTAACCCATCTCTTTTGCCTTCAGGCAATGAACTCTGTGTTCAAAACGGTACTGGACCTTACTTATCCAATCACGTCCATGTTCTCTGGCTCTGCCTTCAACACCAGCATCTCCAAAGTCTTTGAGGACAAGCAGATCGAGGTAAGAAGTCACCAAATCTCTTTTGTTAGTGCTTTTTCTAGTGCTCCTAAAACATGTATTTTGTCAGTTTTAATTGATCTATATTATTATTATTATTATTATTATTATTATTATTACTGGTCAATATTATTTTAACTCTTAACTTTCAGAATAGCTGATGTAATTAGGAAAGGTGATTATCATATGTACGACAACATATCATGTGTTTTTCTTGCTTGTATTTGTAGGACTTGTGGCTGCCTTACTTTAACGTGACCACAGACATCACAGCTTCTTCTATGCGTGTTCATAAAGATGGTGAGTGATGACTGAACTTTGTCCTCTTCCCTTTCAGCTTTAATGTGGGGTTCCTCAAGGTTCCATGTTAGGGCATTTGACCTCTAGAATATAATACATATTTTAGGAATTATTAATAATTGTATTATTTATTAATGAAGTAATTTAATAATTTTGGCAAATGTCATTGTCAAATACTGATATAAAAATAAGTTTACAGAAAAAAGTTTACAGCAGTGATCAATTGAATGCTATTAAAACTGAACTGTGGTTCTTAAATGGCTTTTTAAATGTATAACCTTGTTATACTTGGTAACACATAACCTTGTTAGATATTTGGGATGTTCAGGTTGTCTTGTGTTTGGTTATTGTACAGCATAAGTTATGAATCTGTAATGATCAAGAAAAAGAAGCTAATGTTGCATGCAGGTTGTGCGATTTGCTGAAAAGTCTGAAAAAACCGAGAGAGATCTAGAAAATTCCCATTTCATTAAAAACGCACATGCAAGCGAGATGTTAATGAAGTGATTAATTTCCTTAACTCTATTTGTCAAATGCATAAATACATTCTGAGACCAGTGGCATATCATTTATCTCTGAATTCTAGGTTTGGTTCCCAAATTCAGTTGAACATATTTTACAGTATATCTGTTTACTGATTCAAATAAGTTCATTCACACTGGCCAAATCAATTAATGCTCATGTTAAAAACACTGACTACAGTTTAATGCTGAAAAATGCTGGATTTGGGGGCCTTGTAATGGTCATGTGTTCACCCGTGTTTGCCCAAATGGAATATGGGATTGAATTTGCATGTCTCACTAACTGCAAGGACAAAGCTTGTCTCTGTTTTCTTTCCCACTATGTTTCTCTCCCCTTTTTTATCAAAGTTTTTGTCTGTCTTCCTTCTGTCCTACCCTCTGTCCTAACCTGCTTTTGTGTCATAGAAAAGGCTAAGCTCTTATTCACTGTCATCCTTTTCACACATCTTTATCTCACTATTTTATTTCTATTATATTCTAAATGCCCATCATGTTAAGTATACACTATTAGCTGTTGTAGAAGGTAAAATCCCTGTTAGTGGTGTCTGTAGGATCCAGAATGCATCACCCATTTGCTTCCCCCTGCCTTGTTAATGCCATTTCCTCTTCATTCTTCTGTTGCGGCATTGCTCATTCTGCTGTTGCAGCATTGCTCTTATTCTCACACTGCACAAATGGGACATAACAGGTCCAGAGACTTCACTGCAACTTACAGTATGCCTTCACTCAGCTGTGGATGTTGGTCAGGTTATGCTAATGTGTTATAATGTGTTCTTCTTACATTCAGTTTTACAAACAGTTTCACAATGTGAGAGTAACATATTAAAAGTAATTTCACTGATTTTCATTCAATAGTAGTTAAATGTGAGTAGGGCAATATGGCTATATTGAGATTATTGGCAGGCTGATAGCCATGTCTACTTATTGAATAAGAGAAGTTTGTGAGTTTGTGAGATCTATTGCTTTGTCAATGGATAGTACACGTAATCAGTTTTTTTTTCAGCAACTTTAAATGCATCTCATTTGCTTTATTATATTGTTACATACATATACACTACTGATCAAAAGTATTTTTTTTTTTATTCAGTCAAAAGTAACTGATTTTTTTGATTGTTTTTGAAAGAAAAATCTTGTTCACCAGGCAAAATGTATTTGTCAAAAACAGTAGTATTGTGAAATATTATTACAGTTTTATAATATAACAATTTTATTATAATATATTATAATAATATTATTTTATTTATATACATTTTCTATTTTAATATACACATGTAATACATTTTATGAGTTTTCAGCGGCTATTACTCCAGTCTTCATTGTCACATGATTCTTAGAAATCATATGCCGAGTTGGTACTTAAGAAACGTTTCTTCTTCTTTTTATTATTAGTTACAATTATTCGATGAACAAAGTTTGAAAAAGAGCATTTTTTAAAATAGAATTTTTTGTAACATTATAAATGTCTTTACTGTCATGTGACCTTGTAAGTATTATTTTGAATAATATTTAAATTATATTATTTTATTTTAAAACTGTGGTTTTCAGGCCTGGAAAAAGTCATTGAAATTTTAGAGTAAAATACTTTCTTTTTTTTTCCCCACAAGAAACACAAATCACACTGTTGTAGTTTTGTCAGAGAAGATGCTGTGGTCAACATGCTCTTGTCATTATTGTGTGCTATAACTTGTGTGCAGATCTCTCAATCTCACCCTCTTTGTGCCCTTCCACCTCCCCTGCCTCCTTTCCTAATCTGTTTATTTGTCCATTTTGGCATGACTTAGATTGTCATCTCTAATAAATGCAGTTTATATTCAGCATTCATTCCCTTTGGTTAGGTAAACGCACTGATAGAATTTTTGATGGTATTTGACATTTAGAAATTACTACAATCATTACTACAAACTACAATCAAGTTTTGCGTTTTCTTGTTTGTACTGAATGGAATAAGATGTCTTGATTGGCATAGCCAGATCTCAGCATGATGTCCATGAAACTAGGGAGGATTACGGAGAGCTACTGTCAGAGAATTTTGGGTCCCCCTTCTCATTTTCACTCATCTGTTTCCTGTTGTTTACTGTCCCTCCCTCCTCTGTCTCTCTCCACGTCTTGTCCACTTTTGATTTACTCTCCATCTTAATTTTGCCAGGCTGTGTTTGGCGCTATGTTAGAGCCAGTGCCTCCTATACCCCTTATCTGCCTCCTCTCTGCGACCCCAAGGACGGCCACCTCCTTGTGGATGGTTGCTATGTTAACAATGTCCCAGGTCAGGATTCTGCCCCCTTTTCACCAAAGCCTTCCAGAAGCCTAAAGGAGGCTTTTAAAAACCTGCTACACCAGTATCCCTGCGACAACCAACCACTCAGTTACCCTTTGCTTTTTATTGTCTCTTGTCCTGTTTAAAATGAATTAACCCCCTGCTTACATTGGGAACCCATGGCTTGGAAGGAACACAGGATAGTATTCAATGAGAGAAAGAAAAGAGGAGAGAGACTGTGCTTTCATAACCACGATAAACATTACATTCAGCTGAATCTGATAAAAAAATCATGTCCAGGTCTCATTTTGTCCCAAAATCAAAAGAAAAAAAAGAAATTAGATTTTGCATAATTAAAATAAAGCCTAGAAGTGTTTTTTCATAATGAGGTTATTTATTTATTTATTTTTTATTCCCCATATTCTCATTACTGTAATGTGTCCGGCTGTATGGTTTTATGTGTAATTGTTTTTTTTCCGTGCCTAATTGCCATGAGTGGTGTAGAATAGGTTTAATGGTAATAGAATTGGCTTCTTTTTCTTATTGCATTTTCTTTTAGCAAAAAATAATTTCTTTTTTAGGATGAAATATGACTTAGTCGTGTTCTTTATCAGTTTTGTAAGATTCAGCTATTTACCCTCAGGACCATTTACATTCAGTTTTTTCTATTCACACCCAGCTATCCATGTTTGGCTCTTTTGTAAAGGACACTTTATGCACATAGAGTCCAGTCCATGGATTTGAAATGCAGACGATCACCTGATGCTCAGATTTCCCTTGTGCATTAGTATAGAATTTAGCTGATGTATGGTTACAAATATGTGCATATACATTACATTATGTGCATTATTACAATGGCAGTATGTAATAGTTATGGCAGTAACATTTAGTTTTGTTATTTGATGTTTCATTTTGCAATTTAAATTAGATTAATCAACAGTAGGCTTCCAGAAAATATGGCATTGATATGTTTAGTATGATTTTTGCTGTGGTTGTCATTTCCTGAGATGTATTTTAATTAGGCCTCTTGTGTCAGTATGGTTGGTGAATATTGTTTAGCAGTCTAGTGTCAGTTGCTCTAGCTCAGTGGTTCTCAATTCCAGTCCTCATGACCCCCCACACTGTATATTTTGCATGTCTCTCCTATTTAACACACCAGATTCAGATAACCAGCTAATTAGAAGAGAGCTCCATGCATGAACTGTGTTCTGACTGACAGGGTCCCTACACAGTGTTTACTGCCCCCTACAACCTGAGCACGGGAAATCTGTTGAAGTTTACTTCACTTCGGAACATTCGCCACGGCCTGCAGCGTCTACACACAGATGAAACTTGCTAGAGAAGTGTGACATAATATCTCTGTAAATAAATGCTATTTAAATTAATGTTTTGCACACTTCAATGCCCTCTGAATGGTATGCTCCCTTCGAACTGGAATCATGGCAGAATATCCTGTTAAGTCCACTTCCCAGGGCACTCATACGGTTGAATAGAATAAACCTCTGAAGTGATAAGAGATGCATACAAAATGTGCAGAGTGGGGGGGGGTCGCAAGGACTGGAATTGAGAACCACTGCTCTAGCTAAACCACTGCATATGTTGATTTGCATTAAGCTATGACCAACACTGATGATAAAGTAAATGATGGCTGCTGATGCTTGGCGATATTTACGTTTTTGTTTTGCTGTTCAAGCTGATGTATTTTCTCTGTGCTCTTCCATCATGTTCACATCACGTGCACTCTTCCCATCTACCTTGAGCTTGGCTGTCACAAGCACACCATACACTCTGTGTGCATGCTGTTGCATGTTTATGTACTGCAGGCCATTATTCTACATGTATACAATATTTATAAGGATAAGTTTCACTGGCAGTTGTTGTTCTGGATCCTACAGCACAGTTAGCCACATAGGATAACTCATTAAGTATGTCGAAAACTTTTAAACAGGCTCACAGACAGATCTTTTTATGTTTAAGTGGGCACCGTTTTTGCTTTAAAGCAGTAACTCACCTCAAAATTAAAAATCTGTTATTATCTACTTTATTAAACATCAGCGTGAGTAAACAGAGTGCTGCAGTGATAACATATTTTTGTAGGCCAAACTGCAAGGTAGCATCACCCTTGTTCAGTCAAAAAATAATAAATTAATTAAGTGATACAATTTTCCCTGAATGTTTGAATTAGAATAGTTTGCAAGACCGCGATTATAAAATGAAAGCAGACTAGCGAATAGACAAGTTTTCCTGTTTAGTTTAATGTCCCAGATAACCTTTGTAGTCCTATTTAGTAAAAGTCTTTCAAAAACCACAAGATGGTATTTCTAATGCATTTTATGTGGTAGCGTAAAACTTACAAATATCTTGAGCTTGTGTTTACCACAGACCTTATTTCAGGCATTTAACCAAAAACTTTTTTAACAAAGTAAAAAAAAAAAAACCCTCTGACTTCAGGACAATGGAACTGGAAGTGCTAAAATGCTATCTTGTTTCAGCCTACAAAAATGCACCATACAAGCGTGTTAATTTTTGGGTGAACTGTCCCTTTAAGAGTGCCACATGCTGAATGCACCTGCCTCTCTGGATTTTTCTCTCTCCTTCCAACCCATGTCACTGTCACGCCTTTCTTGACACCTGATTGTCGAGTGGAGTACTACAGGCCGGGACAGGCTGGCAGTGCCCAATAGGTTTCACTGACTGTTTTTCAACCCTGTCTCCTCTCTGTCTGAAAAATACATCATTATTGATTAATAATGATGCATTTAAGTGAATGAACTGTAAGAATATTAACATAATTTGTATCTTTTGCATAAAAAGGATCCACTGTATTTTTTAACATTTTTGATTGAAAAAAGCCAGTGAGACAGGGTTGAAAGAGATGTCAACCTTACCTCATGGGTGTTTACTCTACCTCTGTCAAGGTTGGGTTCACTAAATGAGGTAGGCCAAACTAAACCACCGCACACCGTCCTTGGGGTGACCATCACTGTATCTCCCTGCTGGTCTGTGCGCTACTAACCAAAACTGTGACTTCAGGGTCACCTCCAAACACTGCTGAGGAGTTACGTATACATACTTTAGACGTTATTAAGAGGTTATTGTCCCCTCCCGGTGTGGTAGGCTCCCTGTGGCGCTATGTCAGGGCGAGCATGACCCTTTCCGGGTACCTGCCACCCCTCTGCGACCCTAAAGATGGAAACCTGCTCATGGATGGAGGATACATCAACAACCTGCCAGGCAAGTACGGTCCAGAGCAACCCTAACTCCACAGAGATAGGGCCACTGGGGCCAGAAACACAATCTGGTTTGGTCAATCACGTAATTTTGGTTTTAAAGAGCTACATGGCTCTGAGTAAGTATACTGTGATTTTCTTTGTCATTTTGAGGGTGGAATGAGTGGTTATGCTTTATCCATTTGAACTCAGAATGTGTGTATTTTAATGTTAGTCAATTTGGCATCTTGGAGATTTCCAGCACATTTTACATACATTTCAAGTGTTCACTCATTTCAGGTGTCTATTAGATTATGATTTGTTCAGAGACAAATGGATAAAGTTCTGCAGGGATTGGGTGGTGTGGACAAAGATGCTCAGTTGTTTGACCTCTTGTCCTCACCAGCCTATTAAAAACATGAAATTTTATCAGACTGTAAATGACAGTCATTGCAAGCTGCTGTTGTTGTCTGGTGTACAATTGATCTTAAATTGTGATTATAAATATTTAGTATCTCTTTACAATATAGGAAAGTGTGATTTAAGTCAAATTTAAAATTTACCAGTTTCCAATATATAAATAAATAAATAAAAATACAAATCACCAGACAGCAATAGCATAATGTCCCACAGTTTGCAGTGCAACATATTGGGAAGAAAGATAGTTCAGATGTTGCATTTCAACTGGGGACATTTTAATTCAGAGGAAAAAGACAAGATTTTGCATGTGACATCACATTCCCTGTTATAATTTGAGTTAATATAATTTAATTCATTAGTTCATCAAGCAGTTTGCACTGCTAAATACAAAGTTATTCCTTGCATTAAAACATCTGTGTTACTGCCTTTAAAGCAGATTGGATGTTAAAATTCCAGGGAATAGTTCTTATTTCATTTATTTATTTTGTGTGTGTAATGTATCACTTACTTTTTAAGCCCACGTTGTCAGGTTTAATTGCGTCTTGTCTTGTCATCATTGAATATAATTGTCTTTTTCCATCCTTTGTTTGTACTGATCACATGCAAGGCTGTTTTACCACAATTCTCAGCAAATGTTTTTAGAATCTACTTAATTCTAAAAAAAAAAATTCAATTTTTATTCTTAATTTCAAACATTGACGTTTATTCAAATATATTGCTGATGAAAATGGCAGCTTTCCAGTGAGGGGTTTGGTTAAACAGTGTTGATTGGTGATCAATTATTAATTACGTATTTTGTCTGAAATATTAACAGTACTTTGATTCTTCCTGCTACCTTGTGGATGTCTGTCTTTGTGTACGTGTGCATTTGTTTGCATTCAACTGGCACTCTAACGCCCTGCAGCGGACATAGCTCATAATATGTCTAACACCCTGCAGCGGACATAGCTCATAATATGGGCACAAAAACAGTCATCGCCATCAATGTGGGCAGCCAGGATGAGACTGATCTCTGTAACTACGGTGACAGTCTTTCTGGCTGGTGGCTGCTATGGAAACGAATCAACCCGTGGGCGGAGAAAGTGAAGGTGAGTCAGTGTTGTGGGATATTAGAATACTTCTTGTGGAGCCAATGCAGCAGTTTCAACAGAAAGCTTCTGGACCGCTATGACGAATTACTACTATTAAAAGATTTCATTAATGTTCGATTCCTGTAAAAATTGATTGTGCTAGGTCTGCATAAATGATTTAAAAATGTCCTGTATCTCTTAGGTGCCTGACATGGCTGAAATCCAGTCCCGTTTGGCCTATGTATCTTGTGTACGGCAGCTGGAACTTGTCAAGAAGAGCGCATACTGCGAGTATATTCGGCCACCCATCGACCGCTTTAAGACCATGGACTTTGGGAAATTTGATGAAATCTATGTGAGAACAAAAGCCCACATCTACAGTAAACACAGGGGGACACTATCTATGTAGTCTTGATAGCAGTATATAGCAGTATAGTATAGTATTTATTATACAGGGTTTCTGCGGGTCTTACATTTATAGTTGTATAAAATTTAAGGCCATAAAAAGTCTTAAATGGTACAAGAAAGTCTTAATTATGATTTCAGGAGGTCTTAAATTTGGGGACAGAAAGACGAGAATTCCGATATGGCTGAATGTGACAATGAAACTTCAAAAGGCTGTGATTTCATTAAATAAACATGAGCACTGCACATTTCGAAGTCAGGTTCTGCACAGCTGTGTGTACTGCGTTTACCAGGGAAACTGGTATATTTATGCTGTTCCGAAAGTGCCACCTGCTGGCAGAGAATGAATTTGCATTTTCAATGAGCCCATCTGTTGTTTTTGTTTAGACCAATGTGAAAATCAACCCGTTTTTACACAGCAAACACAGAGTTGTAAATGTGACCTGGTGGACTGAAAAGAAGATAATGCATTATAAAAATTATCAATTATGTAAAATATATTTATATTATTAAATTAATATAATAATTGATTGATGATAATTGTTTAAATTAATGTATAATTGATACTTTTGACTCATCCATTTTCTTAAAAATGGTTTAAAGGCTGAAATGTGAAGTGTATCATTTTATAAAACTTTCTGTTTTTGAGAAAATCTGAACTGTAAATATTTTTACAGTAATTTTACAGTTCAACATGTTACCATAGACATTGCCCTACCTCTCTCATATGGTATTAATTTTATTTGTCTTAATAAGTTAAAAAGTAACTTAACTTAAAAAGTCTTAAATTTGAGCTTAAAAATCCTGCAGATACCCTGTTAAAGCGTACATAAAGCAAATATTCAAAATGGTAAATGACCTCTCGAAACTGGTATATTTAAAGTTTTCTGTTTTCTCTCAGGATGTGGGTTATCAACATGGTAAATTAGTGTTTACTGAGTGGGCTCGTGGGGACATTATTGAAAATATGCTGAAAGACCATCGCTCTGCGGATTACAAAGACAGCAAGAAGACTGATGTGAGTTTTCTTAATATCCCATTAAAGCAAGCCACAATTCTATCACCCTTTTGACAATGAATACCAACACATTTTTTCAGGATTCTTTGCTAAATAGAAAGTTCACAAGAACAGTATTTATTTGAAATAGTTTTTTTTAGTCACAGTGTCTTTACTGTCACTTTTGATCAATTTAATGTGTCCTTGTTAAATAGAAGTATTTTTTCTTTTAAAAAATCTTACCCCAATCTTGTTTTAGATTAATGAATTCTGTGTCTTTATTTTTTTTATTTTATTAATTAAATTGCGCGTGCACGCGCACACACACACATATATCAGCTGATATCAACTGTTCAGTGTATTATTCTGTAGTAAATGTGCTTTGTTGCTATTTGTTTCAGTCATGCACGTGTCCTAGTGCAGACTTCACTGATCTAGCTGAAATTGTGTCCAGGATTGAGCCGGTGCTGAGCTACTTGGGAGCTGATGGTCAGTTACTCCAAAAAAACAAAAAAAAACTTTTTATTTGTACAATTTACCCTATTACCTTTATTTGAATTTAGGACAGAATTGACAAGCTATTTAATATTACAATGTTGGCCTGCAGAGTTGGTATTATGTCATATACTTACTGTTCATTGTACCTGTAACTGATGTTTATGTATCTAGCAGAAGAGTCTGACTATGCGACAGAGTATGAGGAGGACGGGATGGACACAGTGAGAGAGGAGGAGGGTGAGGAAGAGGAGGAGGAGGAGGCTGAAGACCCTGAGGACCAGTCCCCTGGAGAATGGGGACCAAATGGGATCTTCACATCAGTAAGTGTACACACACAACCTTGTACATAAGGCCCTAAAAGTTAAGTGAAATTAAAGTCAGAAATCAAAAACTAAATAATTTGTGTAGGATGAAGAGAAGACAGTCCGTCAGAGGAAGAACATCACCAGGGACCCCAACATGGACTTCTCTGGAGTGTCAGATTGCTGAAAAGGGAGTAATGCAGGGTCAAAGGGCACTGGAAAGAGAAGCAGAGTCCCACCAGGGGCTGAAGAATATAAAGACAAATACAGAAGAAAAGACTTCTGAATTAATAAGATTGTTGGAAAGTCACCAAAGATACTGTGATTTACACCCCATTAACACATTACCCACAATTTGTCACCAAAACTGTGACTCTCTTTTACGCCTTTGGGATTTTTTGTCGCTCAAGACTCTACAACAGGGTCCAGGGACTGTGGGGGCCCAGCAAGGCAGAGGAACCACTCCTTGAGATACTTTGCCTCTGAAATTAGGGGCTCTACATCTTTTGAGATGTTTTAGGAGTTTCATGGGAAATTATGTCTACAGTAGTGGCCAGTATACCACTATCATTAAGTTCTGGTTTTCCTGTCTGTTTCCAGACAACACCAGTTCATACTAGAAATAGTGTCTGGTTTGTGATTTTTATTTAATTGAATTACATGTGTGTGTGTGTGTGTGTGTGTGTGTGTGTGTGTGTACGGCCACAACCATAAACATGCATTGGCAACTTCTTCCATAAAATACCTTCTAGACTGAAAATGGCTTCCCAGGATGCATTGTTGAAGGTCTGAAGCTGAGAAAAGACTGTGTAGGTTCAGAAAGACTTCAAGAGGAAGTGATGCTGCTTCATAGAGACCTATCATTTCCATTACAATGGTTAGATTTCGATTTGATGGTATTTGATGTAAGGTTGCAATGCTTGCACATTATTAGGAAAAATCACTTCAGATTTTCAGTAACAATATGTTCCTGATATCTAATATTATTTTAAAGAGGGATAACAGAGTGGAAAGCTATGTAGGTGGTCAAATGTGGTATAAATTATAACGGAAGATTTCGATGGGATGGCCAAATTGTGTAGAATACAGATGGATTGACTGCTGAGATGGAAATGTGGACAGATGGATACATTAGAAGAGAATGAAATCAAGAACGATTTTTTAAAGAGTAGTAAGAAAGAGAAACATAAATGTAGGAGTGAGGTAAGTAAATAATGAAGTAGGGTGTAAAGAAATGAACAAGAGTGAGGAAGTAAGAATGATATGCAGTGAGGAACCGAGTGAGCATGGAAGAGAGAGAGGAAGTGTGTGCGGAAAAGAACCAGGAAGTGAGCGGGGTAGAGAGTGAGGAAGCGATTGTGGTAGCCAGTGAGAAAGTGATCACAGTAGTGAGTGAGAAAATTATTGCAGGAATGAGTGAGAAAGTGCTTGTGGAAGAGAGCAAGGATGTGATTGTGGTAATTAGGGCTGTGTATCACCAGCAAAGTCACGATACGTATCACGATACAGAACTGCACTGAATTTCACCAAAGCAGAATTTAGTAAAACAGCTGTTTATTAAACACTGCTTACTATAGTGCCATTTCTAACTATTGGCAGAGCAGGCAGCTGACCTCTGCATTATGAAGGGCCTCCATAACTGTACCACAGTACAATATAGGTAATGGCATATGTTTCATGTTTACATTGGGCACTCCCCACCAGGTACAATATTCTGATTGTTTACATCTTGTTTTTAAGCCCATAAATAATAATGTACTCGTTCTAATAAATTTATATTGTAATGTACTCATACTAATATATATATAAAAAAAAGCATATTTACATTGCTGGTAGGTTATCATTACACAAATTAACACAATTTCTACATTTAAAACAATAAAAATAAAAATTAGAAGAGTTCTAAATTAATGCCCTGGCTTCACTGTATCTCACGCACACAGATCATGTTGCGCGCGCGCACAAACATTCAGTAACACAAGCTTTTTAATGCTGCCCCACAATTTTATCAATAAAATAACTTAATCGCTCAAGAGCTACATTATCTTTCTCAACAAGGAGCTGGTAACATCATCGTTTCTAAAGCAATTAAAGCCACAGCTTCACTGTTAATAGAGAAATGTGGCAAAACGGTGGTAATTCATACATACACAGCCTCTCTCTCGCTCTCGTGTCAATGAACACTTGATGAATTACACTTTTCTGATAATAGAATATTGAAGTGGAGATCGCTAATCTGCAAGTTTACCGGTGTCTTCAGAAAGCAAGTGCGTATATCCACAGTGGAGAGAGAGCGCGTGCACATGGTTGCCAGGTTGACAGAGATAAGCAGCACACTTAGCTGATATTTCCGTATTGCGCAAGTGGGAAGCTCTGTTTCGGGGATTACATCTCTTTATATCAGGCAACCCCGGTTGTGTTCCTCTGCGGCCAGAATAAACCTTGCTGTGGCCTATATATTATGCTCTATTCATTATTCTTTCGAAACCTCGCACTTTTCGACTCCATTTTAAACGTTGTTCTTGTATTCAAATTAAGCACGGTCCACTGCAGCGCACGTGCCACAATATCGATACAGGGCCAGCTGTATCGATACTCGTATCGTCAAATCTCTGTGACGATACATCGTCGTATCGATGTATCGAACACAGCACTAGTGGTAATGAGCAAGAAAATTATTGCAGGAGTGAGCGAGAATGTGGTCGCGGTAGAGAGCGAGGAAGTGAATGCGGTAAAGAGTGAGGGAGTGATTGTGGGAGTGAGCGAGAAAGTGGTCGCGGTAGAGAGTGAGTGGGTCGTGGGTGTGAGCGAGGAAGCGAGTGCTATAAAGAGTCAGGAAGTGGATACAGTAGAGAGCAAGAACAGTAAAGAATGCGAGGAAGTGGTCGGGGGAGAGAGCGAGGAAGTGAGAGCAGCAGAGAGTGAAAAATGAGTGACAGAGTGAGGAAGCGAATGCAGAAGGTGGGGAGCATTTCATTTTAGGGATTTCGATGATGCCCAAATATATCATGTGGAATTGGATGTATGTTTGTCTTTTGCCTGTGTGTGTGTGTTTTCAGCTTTTCAGAAATGCAGAACTACTTGTGCTTCAGGTAGACTAGGTGGATGCCTTATTTTATTGCACATTCACAAAGCAAAAAAAAAAAAAAAAACCTGTAATATAATCCCATGAAGATGTGGGGAGTTTAAATTGTTATATTGCTGAATGAGTGCCAGGGACGCAGTGTCCAGTATGTCATCCTTCCCATGTTCACCAACCTAAAAATTGTCCATAATCAATGTATATTATCTCTGAAGCCTCACTGAGATGTACAAATTCCTCAACCCTTGAAGTTTTTGCTTTGTTTGTCTTTTATGCTGAGATGGTTTGTTTTATATGTTAATGAGAACTTTGCCAACTACTATTTAATTTATTTGTTTTACAACTGGCTTTTTTTAAAATGGCTTTTTAAAACACTTTAGATTGTAGAGAATAACAGTAAGCGGTTTCTTATTTTGCTTGATTAGCATTTTTGCACTGATGAAAATGAAGAAAACATTGTCTAATATGAGAGGTGGCTAATGTACAGACGGGTCAGGTGTGCAACAGTTTGAAGCCTCAGAAATAAATGCTGAATAATGAATAATAAAATCCTATTTAATGCATTACTGACTAAATCACTTTTTGAAATAAGGCATAATGGTCCCAAGTGATTGTTTTTTTTTAAACGTAAAGCAACTTTATCCGTGGGAAAGACTTAAATAAAACCTAAGAGAGAATATAGGCTACTATGTGTCAAGAAGTTTGATTGATGAGGGTCATAAAAATTCCACCCCCCACCCATAAGTGGACACCTGTTGGACACCTGTTCCTGTACACCACCGCCCCCGTCTAAGTGACCATCTGTTTATCCACTCCAATGACCCGAAGGATTTTATGATTGTTTGGGAATGTGCTATTGTGTGGGTCAGTTGAAACTGTTCAAAACTATGTGCTTTAAACTTTAAATTGTGAAACGTGGTATGATTATTAAACGGGATAAGGGAAGTTTTTATTAAAGTTTTCACACATACATTTCAAGAAAAACATCAAACATACGCGGTATATAAACAAAATCTATGTTGTACTCTACCATTAGCTACAATTTTAAAAAGCTAAACCTTGTTACTGACAGAAAGTTAAACAAAAGAAAAAAACCTGACCATCTTGCGCTGATACATCCTCACACGTTGCTGTCAAAACTCAGAATGTTTACGTCCGGTCCCACTCAAACCACACCCACTAACCGCCCCTAACACCGGAGACCGCAAACATAGATTTAAATGTATGTTAAAAGAATTAAACAAAGTAATGTTTTTAATAAATCGCCATCATTTCTTAAATGATGAAAACATTCTACCTGTTTTTAACATTAGACCAGCATTTTTTACTTTAAAAATTAGGATAGCCTATACAATTCTAAACAAATGCCGCCTAAGCCACAGGAAAAATGTTGTTTGTTTTTTATTTTATTTTAGTTTAGTTTAGTTATTCACACTTAATATAGTAATTCCTTTATTTACTCTTTGTTTTTTGTCAAGCTTAAGACTTATGGCTTGCTATATAACCCAGACTTTTATTTTTCTTTCTTTTTTTCACTTTTAAAATTAGGTTACACAAGTTTTCTTCTAAACAATCATCTCTTAAGTCACAGGAAAAAATTTTGTTTGTTTTGTTTTATTTTATTTTATTTAGTTATTCACACTTAATTTACTAGCCTAAATCCTTTAATCGGTCTTTTATTTTTGTCAATCTTAACTTCTAGCATGCTATATCAGTTAAAACACACACACACGCGTATGCGTACGCAAATATCTAACTGGAAAGCTAATGTTTTGGGGAGTCTCTTTGATTTCTTGCCGTAAGACTTGTGGCGTGTTAGCTATCAGTTGAAACAGACATACGTAATTAAACGTCTAAACTTTTACAACATTACACGAAATGCAAAATATCGCAGCTCACGTACAACAGTGAAACGAGAGAAGGTTTGAAGATGGTGCGCAGAATTTGTGACGCTGTGCTATAGGCTAACCTATCTGTTAAAACACATGCGTGTAGCCTACAAATATTTAGGCTAACTGGAATGAAAGCAAATGTTTTTTGTTTCATACTGCGTAATAAAATCAACATAGGATTGCGCTTTGATTTTCTTGTCGCAAGATTTGCGGACTGCTAGTTAAAACGCACATATGTACTTAGTTAAAGGTCTAAAGTTTTTACAACATCACACGAAATACAAATATTTCATCTCGCGCAGCGCAATGAAACTAGAATGGTGATGGGTGTCTGGGTTGTGTGATTACTGATGCGACCATATTAGTGTACTGTATTTCAAAAGGTTGTAAAACTCTGGCATTGTAAACTTTGGTGTTGTGTCAGGTAAAAAGTTCACTGATCAAAACGGATCATGTTCAGCGATCAAAGGATCTCCATTGGATCTATTTTATGGCATGCACCTGCGAGTGTGAACTTTCTAAGGATGTTTTCGGGTTTGTTTTATAACCGTAATCTGGTGAGATTGCGAGTGTCTGGCATTTTGAACTTTGTTAGAATGTTAGGTAAAAAGTTCGGTGATCAAAGGATCTCCATTGCATCTATTTTATGGCATGCACCTGCGAGGGTGAACTTTGATTTACATACGGGCATCTGGTGGATTGATAGGTAAAGTT